AGGCATTTATTGTTGGGTTAATGGTCCTAGATAAATATATATCCCCATGAGCGATTGTCAGATCTCACGGCTGCTTTTCTTGTCAAGCGGAGAGCGAGTTTATATACAACTAAATATAAGAAGTTCATCCTCCGGGGGTTTAGAAATTGTTTGCACTGCAGTGTACTTGAAAATTCTAATAATGCGTTCCTTTTTACGTGGAAGCTGTCAACATTGTGTGCCAAGAAAGACGAGCTCGGAACGGGTACACTTCGCTTTTTGGATAAAACAGGTATCATAACAAAAGTGTAGGTAACTTGTAAAGCGGTCACAAAAAACAAGAGAGTAAGAAATTGAAAAGATGGCAAGATCAGAGTGATCGATGATGTAGCTTTATGAGGTTCACTGGAGCACTCGACCTGATGTCAAGCTTGTGTTCATTACTTTGAGCACAAAGGCGCTGTTTGATTTCACTAAAAATGGTGTGCGAAAGTTTTGACGTTGCGCAATTAGATGTCTCTAACAGAGAACACCATTAACCAGATAATTGGCTCCAGTTTAACACTTAGCATAGAAAGGACAATCAAGCAATTGCTGCAAAGAACCAAGAAGGATAAAGCAGCCATGTTGCGTACGAGTATAGGGAAATTAACCAAAATTAGGGTGTTTTAACACCTTGAGGACACATGTCATCAAATAAACAAGGGCCGGGTCAAAGTGCTTAACAAAATACCGACAGACGTATCAAATGCCGTCCGTCACATTGAAGAAGCCGATCTATTTGTTATCAAAATTGACAACAGTTTGCTTACCCTGTCTGGTTTCGATCTTCCACAGCCGATCTAGAAAATGTGATCTTTTGTACTACTGAGGGACGCAGACGAACTATGGGATAGCTTACCCAACACATCGTTCATGAACGTCATCTGAACCGCAGCAATACCGATATCAACAACAACGGCAATCTTTTAGCCTGTTTGCAAACCTAACATTGCTACTGAATGTATGTTATCGTGCCAGGAGTATTTGCTCTCCTGACACTTTTCAAAAAGTGTCATTTATCCGAAGGACGCCACTGGCTAATGGTTATCCCGATAAATGTACTGATCTGCGTACGTTACCGGTTGATTCTGTCTGCGAAATACCGAAGAAAAGCGCCTTCCTCAGACTCACATTTAAGAGTGACTCAGCCTAACAATTCTGATTCACATGTTGTCTACTGGTTCACCTGTAGTTTCAGTGACACTTACACTGACAGAATGAATTCACCTGTCGCAATGAATGTTTGAACACATTCAAAAGTTGTTGGTACAATCAATCAATGACGCAATACAGTCTTTGAGGTCAGTTTGATCAGAGAAATCCAGAGTCATCAATCGCGAAACGTCATGACAACTGAACATATCGTTGATCCACAATTTTCGTTCAAACCGTTGTTACGTAACACGAATTCCACGCTCTTGGTATTTGGTGGGGCGATGTTAATTAAGTTACATAACGGAATATTATTAAGTACAAAACTTTCTGACGGGAACAGTGAAACTGCCGAGAACCGGATTCCTCCCTCCTGATCCCACAATTGTTCTCCGTTGAACCACTGTAGTTGGTTCTACCAAACTTTGAAATACATCAACCATGTTTATCACATAAGAATAACATATCACAATTTTTACATTTTCGTTCTCCCAGGTTTATTTTTCAAAAAATAGAACAAAATTAGTTGATCAGTCAAACTAAAACAATACTGATTCCGATGGTTTCAGGAAGTGTTATCGGAATCTGAAAGCCATAAGGTACTGTATTTTTTGACCAAATGTTTAGTATCTTGAACAAGGTTTATTTGTGTTACCGACAAGTTGCAACTGCACACAAGTTCCATTTTAATATCACTATGATTGATAAGCTAATTTTTATTTTTCAGTTCACATGGAAATGCAGATTGGAATATCATGATGCTCAGCTTGAAGTTTCCCAGTCTGGAAAGGCTCACTAAACTTTATCCACTTCTAGGAATAGACTCAAATGAGACAACAAAAGCCCTCTTACCGTGCGGTGATGTTTAGTCATCGTTGCCATGAGTAAAGTAAGGCTCTGAACTACACAGGATGTATAATATAGACATCTTTTTGTTAGACAGAATGATAATGAGCATGCGGATTACTGTGAACAATGAAACACAAAAGTACACTGTGTCCAAACCACCGAATTATGTTCTAATCGAAGGTAGGTTGAATTCGCAGATGCGACTATCAGAAGATAATGCGTCAGTTTTGGAATGATGCCTCAAAGTAATGAGATCTCAACTACCGTATGTAACGTTAGGCAACCTTGACTCTTTACTCGAGAGTGACTTCATGGTTTAAAATCAGCAGTTGAATGACCGCGGGCTACTTTGCACTAAATGCTGCAGTGATTTTCGTGACTATAAAATAATAAAACACGGATTTTGAATTAAATTTAATGACAGATATTATTATGTAGGATATTTCACTGAAGGAAGTTTTGTCATTGTTTTTGAATAAAACGCAATTTACTAATCAAATGTGATGATTGAACTCAATGTTTGATGTGATAACTAACATTAATTTTTGAGTAAATTTCGTCATGACTGAGGTTCACTGACTATCTTGGCTTCCCCAAAATATAAGCGGCATAAAGAATACTTTAATAAACAGACAGATTTCTAAATTAGTAAGTTCAATAGAGATCCGTAAAAGTGGTTTTCAACCAACGATAAACATTTTTCTCTGTCAAATTAAGAATTCAGATCAGAAATCCGGATTTAGCCAAGTGAGTCTATGACTGCTTGGGAATTTCGAAACAACTTCCAGCCAATTTAGCTCTACCTTAAACTCCCAGCCTACTTCCCTCCCACTCAATTCGGTTCCAGGCAAATGTCAACTGATGACATTATTCCCGGAGGTAGCCACTCACGTGCTGACAGCAAAGACCCCTTTCCGGGGTGGCATTTGCTCCTGTACGACGAAGTCAATGAAGGCGATTATGCATAATTTACTACAATGTATACAGAAAACATAACCAAGTGGACGCGCACAGATTAGATTTTCCCGGGAAGAAAACATTTTTAATATTCACCATGCAAACGGTCGAGTTTATGCATGGCGCCAGTCCAAAACCGTTCCGCTTTCGATTTTGTTTTGTATCGTTTAATGCCTNTAACAGACCTCATCATGCATTTACCCCGGGCGTTAAGATCAATAAAACACCATAAAATATATCCCCGAACTAGAAACAACATCAACAACAGTAACAACCTGATGCCAGCTTTCGATAGGAATCAACTTAAGATTCCGGTTTCCTTGTTTCTTCGGCTTACATCTGTGCATCTGACTTGATATCAGTTGTCTGAGCAGCAAAAGGTACCTTGCAGAGGTTAAGGAAATCTTATCGTGATTTATTAACGAGATGCGTTCAATAATCGCGCTCTTTTCATGTGTATCACGACGGTCAAAGCTCACTATGTATGGATTTTGTGGTTTCCGTGCGATACACAGGTTTCCGAATTCATATCTGGTCGAGAAAAACAAGCGGTGTCCATTTGAAGGTTGGCTTTTTATCTCGAGGTAAACGTGACTGTCACATTCAAATAAAACAATTTGATATGGGGAAATTGAATATCGCAAAAAGCAGAAAAGTCCTACCTCATACCAAATAAGCTTGCAGTTTTGTGATGAAAGAGAATGAACCGAGGCTTCGGAACTAAAGATTGGGATCTAGACAGGACTCTAATTGAATAGGTACAGCAGTACGCGGAGAGGACAGTAAAGCCACAATTCTACTGAAGTTAAGTTGTATGTTTAATTTGGAGGGCCGAGGCCGAAGTAACGGTTAAAAGGAAACAGCCAGGGGGGTTGAGAGATGCAGATCTTTCCTAACGACACAAGTGTTCAAACGCGTCACTTGCAGCGAATGTTTACGGGTGGCGAAATCTTAATTCACGTCAACTAGTGATCTTGTCATGCACTGGGGGATATTTGATCAAATGTGAAACCTACCTTGAACCCACGGATATTAGTGAATCTTTATGTAGAACCAGCGATATGTCTGTGTTTGAATGAAAATAGTAAAACGCAATGAACAGAATTGACAGTAGGCATTGATTTCTCGTGCTCTCAATCAGCTTAATAGGTACGTATGTCATAAGCAGACTGCCTTATATATAATCATTTACATAATTAAATTGATTCAAATAGAGAAAAATTGGTTGTTGAGTTCATATCAAAGTCATTCAAAGATGGATAAACGAATAATTGGGGGGAAGGAAGGGAGACTAATGATTTCAAAGAGTCACAAAATAGACATGCTGGCATAGAAACAGTTACGCAATGAAAACCGATTGACCGTGGGGGAAAGAAAGCTGGAAATGCCTACTTAATATCCAATAAGAGAATTATGCATTTGGATCAAACAAGAAATTAAAACGGATATGCAAAGGAAACGGAATAGAAAATGGATCAATCGAGATGGTCAATTCATATTCATCAGAATCGGCTTTGCTTGGAAATACACTCACACGTACAATTCCGAGTTCAGTCAGCCAACCGACAGTCACTTGAAAAGCACCGAACCCAAGCTTCGTTCTCAGCCAAGCTTATCAATGCGATTGGAAACCGCGGACCCATTGTGTCTGGAAGCTGTGTGTGTCTGTGCTAGCACTGTATCGATCAGCTAGGACCAAGGTTGACAATAATTAGTAATTCCTTTTTGTCCAAATGGCGTGTTCAGCCGTCGACAACCGTTTCCCTTAACCTACCTGTAAAATTAAAATTTATATCTAAAACAATAATCGCAAGGATATTTTGTGAGAGAAGAAATTTAGTAAAATGGTGACTCTCGAAGTTTGTTATGAAATGGCAGGCATTGCAATTTCGTTGATAGTCACCTGATCATTACTTCAGTGTGGCACAACAATTTGGTTGTGAAAAATGGAGTCTGGCGTGTATCCTATTGAGGAAATCAGACTTTTCATGTTCACCCCATGATTACCTGATTTCGTTTCTTCATAGCAATGCACTGTTCATTCGACCGGTTTTATCAATGCAAATAATAATGCCCCCAAATGCCCCAACGTGGAATCCGCGATTGTCTTCGATTTCACGCTCCCTTAAACTCAAATAGTATTCTATCTGATATACCCAACCTGCCTGAGGCAAACGACTCAGACCATTATGACCATTATGGATAAGTGTGCGGGAAAGAGTTGGAAACGGCTTTCGCAGAGCACCGGAATGATACCCTGCCATCAATAGCTGATCAACCTGACAATATTCTATGAGTAGATCATCAATGTAGCAACTGGTTTTGCGTTTTCTCCCCATTCCCTTGTCGTTCAGTGAACAGCGGCTTTAATCACGACCATGGATAGTTGAAAAACCTTGATTTTCAGATTTTAGTATCTTGCAGCACCCAAGCAATGAAGCATACGCGTCCACAGTCAACTTTGCTGAGCATATCAAAAGGGCGGTTTAGAGCGGAGGCTAAACAAAACTCTGTCAGTTTCGGTCAGACAGAGGTATATGCCGTTAGTCTTTCTGTTTGCCCGAAGAGATCGCATCCGGAACTAAATTCTGACAAGCAACTAGCTTTGAATCTCACACGAATCACACAATCTACTCAACAGACAACAAATTAAAGACAATTAAAAACGTAACGGTAAAGTTACCTTATTTCTTTATTAAACAATTTCACAAAACCTGAGCAAATTTATAAAAGATATCCTGTTTCTAAGGTAAATGGAAAGAGGGGTTCTAATTTGGCTTTGCTTTATTTTTAGTTCGTATTTGCTCTTCACGTTTGGTGAATTTTGAAAGAGTACAATCGCTGTGTGGCTTGAGACTAACTTGACCATTTGGTACTAAAGTGATTGAACTGTTTGAGCAACAAATACATATATATCATGCCATTTAGACTACTCCATAGAATAGAGCAGGTATTGAATTCTGCGATTTACTTGTTAAAGCTACTCGAACATAGATATATTCAAAAACTTTGGTTTATCCTTGTAAAATAATATTTTGGATTCCGTTATCGAGACCTACCAAAATTGAAAGCCGTTGATATGCGTTCTTGAGGATTATTCAAGCTGAATGGCGTTTAGCTAAAAGAAGATCTCACTCGATCGGATGAAGATTATTGGAATCAGAATGAGATTTGTGGAAGTTAATGTAAAAGTGTTTTGTGTTTCGGAGCATCTTTTTAAAATCTAGCATCACATATATTGACAAGAAATCCATATGTTTCAGATAAACTCTGTCTTTTTTCATAGTTGCCGTGAACTACACGAAATGGAAACCTGTACTCATTTCAGGCAATAAGAATCTGCACCTCAATAAACCGGAACCAGCCGTGTGAGGCGAGCGCGAATACCGTTGAGGCTTGGCATCAGCAGGGGGTTGTCTCTGCGATCTGGAGATTACACGGTGGATACATCATGCTTCTCGAATTGAACAATACCCAAGGCATTTCCGAATCCCAGTTGAACTCTTAGCTCGTCAAGATTCCAGGTTTAATCTAATTAGTAAGGATATTATGCAGTTTCCTAGTATAGTACAAAGAGAGAGCGAACCCAGCGAGGCATTCCTGCCGACAGTGCAATATATTTCATTTTGGAAACTTGTGGAGTAAACAATTCTTCGGCCCGGTTTGATTCGGATTTACTGTCTTTTGTTTGACAAACATAATATTAGTATCGCGAAATTCTTATAACACAAAATTATGAGCTGAAGTTATTCATCGGCAGCGGTGATCATGGCAAATAAGGTGATCATGATGATGATGATAATGACAATGATAATAATGATAATAATCTAGTCAAACGAAGATTTTACCCCCGTGATCATTTTCAGATCAGGTGATGTTGTTCGCCGTTGCATCACTCGGATACTTGTTTTTCGTATCGCACCAACGCGACCACCCGAATTTCTCCTGTAGTTTGTATCAAACGAATGGTATTTGATCGGCACTTAGACTGATTTTTGGAATTTAACGAGCAATTAAAGATTCAGCAACACCAAGTGATATAAGTCATTATTAACAAAGAAAATAATCTTTCTAATTTTCAAAAAGCTACTACTTTTCAAACACTCTTAGATTCCTGTAAATGAGTGACTTCAGAATTGTTCTAGCGCAAAATATGAGAAATATCTTTCGACTTTAAAAGAACATAAAAATAAACAATTAAACAGGTCAGTATCGAGCAACGTAATCAGCCCATATTAATTTCTAATATATTTGCCTTTATGAATACAACTGGGAAACAAAATAGCTACGAAATTATGAGTAACCGAACAGAGAAGCCATGCTGAAAAATGCCCATTTGTTCTCGCACAGGACTTTCATTGAGACACAAAATGTGTCCGGTAAATTTGAAGTTTTCTGGTCAAATGCATTTGAGATCAATACAACACATTCTGCCTCCCACTATTCAGACAGCAAAATTTGGAGAGTAATGTGCTTTTCGCATGGTAGGTGTGCATGCGGTCAGATTACCCGGTGCAACCGTTCATCAGCTGCTTAGAGAGGAGACTGCCATGTAAGCTTTGCAAACGCTATTCCGATTGTTGTAGTAGCTCTTGGGGCGTAACGTAACACAAATTTATTTTCGGGTGAATGATTAAACTAAAAATAATTGATCTTTTCAGGATATCGTTTGGGTGAACGTAAGTAAAAGGATGACCCCTTAGAAAATTGGGGCTGATTCACTATCTAAGGAGTGAGTTTGAATAAGTGGAGAATAAACCCAAATCTATGTATGGAACATTTGAAACGAATGGGGTTGAGATTTACTGAGACAACGTTTTTTCTTGTCTGTTGCTGGCAGTTCTTTCAAGAAAAATAATATCAATTATGCCAATTGGTCGGTCACACGGAGAATGTTTGGTTGGCCACCCTAGATTAGCAATCACCTATAGGTGAACATTGAATTGTGATAAATAGTACAATCAACTAGACGGGTGTTTGCAAGCTCAGATAACAACAGACGCCAGTGATGCGCACTTGCCAGTTTGTTTGGCCCGATTGATCAAAGAGGTGTTTGCCTTGGCTCCAAATCTTTGCCGAATGAGAAAAACAACATTGTATGAAATATTTCTATAATAGGTTCGAGGTGTAACGCTTGAAAGAATTTGCCTAAATTCTTTCCGAAAGAAATGATAAAAACCGTTCATACGGAGCCCAAGAGATTACGTCAAATCTCGTTGTCAGTTCACCGACCAGTGAGCGGTGATGTGTAATCTTTCAAGACTAAACGTGGCAGAATGGTAGTAGTGTGCATCAAAGGAAGCACCTCATATCCTCCGAGTAATCAGCATCCACACGGTTTATGGGTGGGATTGTTTTGCGGGTAGTTCGTCAAAAATGCATTCCACAGAAACGGCCAACACATTTGTGCACAGAGTAATAAATAGCTGGGCATTCTTAGCGGATGTCAATTGTTTAAACGTGAACAGCAAAATCAATGTACCTGCTCGCGCGTGTGTGTCAGGGTTTGAATGCCTCTGAATGAAGGACACTCACTCATTTAATTGCACTGCTAAAACATTTAGTGGTGAAAACCAGCTTGTATTTGATATTGCGCTACATACGGTTTAAAGCATACAGTTTTGCAATGAGATTAAATCTCAAATTGTTTGCCTTTGCATGAACGCTTTTTCATAATCTGCAAAGCATAAAAAATATACGAGAAATGGTAAAGAAAAATATTTTCCATGCAAAACAGCCAATAGGTTATTATAGCTTGTTAAGAAAATAAGATGACCATAATTAGAGACAAAATCGAAACCCACTAAGTGGATAGGTATTATAAAAGAGTTTTGTTAAATACATTTGCCAAATGATGATAGATACACGGGTTGGGACATAATTAGGGCCTGAGGGAATCTGACTGTGTAAAATGAACTATCACTTAGCAACAAACTGGACTACATTAAATAAAGCCGACTCAGCAAGCCAACATATTCATACAGTGTAAATTAACTGAACATCAACATATAAAAACCTCCATAGATAGTTCTCCTCATGAAAGTCGTCTTTGGACAAGCAAACATCCATGTCAAATTTCCGCAAGAACGACCGATGTGACTCATACTCGTTGAAATCCAGTTGGACGTTGAGCAACATGCCTTTGATTTGAAAACCACTCCAACAGCTGTGAGCGGTGAGCACACAATCAGAGGTTGAGTTCGGATTTGACTGACTCACACATACTTATATCCGGCATAATCCGACACAGACTGAATTCCACTCATTCACGGCTGTTGTCAACGGCCGAGTCATTCTGTGAACAACCACTTGGTTTTGTGACGGGGAACTCTGGAGAAATCATTTGCTCTCCAGAAGCAACGCGAAACTGTTTCGCAGAGTGCAGAGTGTTTCAATGACAAGACCAACCTCTTTTTGAGTCACTTGTTTTTGTTTTTATTTAAATCTAGAAATTTCAGTTATGGACCGAGCACAATCTAAATATATAAAACGTTTGACATATGAATAAGAACTACATCCTGAAATCCTAATTGAAAATACAGTCGGTTAGAAACGTGCCGTAAAACACGCCTCTCCTTTCATTCAATGAAAAGGTTTTATAAACACATACAGTGAATAATATACGTTATAATACGCCACCACGCCGGGGATAGTAGATTAACGGTAAACACCGAGTTGTAATCTTGTAGACCAATTTAACTCGTTCGAGGTGTTTGACGAGGCATATGATTTTCTTACGTTTTAAACGTGTCCCTCACTCCTTGAGAGTTCATTTCGATCCGCATATTATGATTACATTTTTATTATTAACATCGTAAAAGGTGGAACTCAGTGGATAAAAGAACAAAACCAAACGCAGTGCACAGATCGTGTTTGAATAAACGAGAATTTTCGAACCATGAGGTCTCGTTCCGCTTGATCAAAATTCCCCGAGCTAGTTATCATTTTTGAAAGACATCAACAGGTTGAGGGTGTGAGGTGCAAAGTCTTCATATTAGGACCAATCTTTTCCAGGGGAAAATGTCATCAGCTTAAAAAAAAATTAAATTACGGCCGAATATTGGAAATATCATGACGGTAATAATATCGAGGTATTCAACTGGACTCACCCA